GTTTAGTCTGTCCAGAGCCATGTGGGTTCAGGGTTACGTTTAGTCTGACCAGAGCCATGTGGGTTCAGGGTTACGTCTACTGTACGTTCGATCCGGTGGTTACAGGGACTGGTTTGGCAGAGAGCTGTGGTCCTCCTTCCTCCTCTTCCTCTTCCTCCTCCTCCTCCTCCTCCTCCTGTCCTCCCTCCATCCAGGGGTGAGACAGGATCTCCTCCAGAGTCGGTCGCTCCTCAGGAAGGTACGACAGACACCAGCGAATCAGAGACTGGCATTCTGGGAAGACAAATTGATGCGAGGTTTTAGTTTAAAAACATCTGGACATTTGAGCCAATCAGACTGCACAGGGATGGGGGGGTTGGGGGGTGTCAAGGTGGGTGGGCGGAGCCTCTGCTTACCTTTGGAGACCCTCCTGGTGAAAATGGGTGTGGCCCTGACGATCTCCTGGTCGTGGTCAAACGGGACGTCGCCACACACCATGTCGAAGAGCAAGACGCCCAGAGACCAGACGGTGAGGGAGACCGCCTTGTAGGACTTTGACTCGATCCACTCGGGGGGGCTGTAGACCCGAGTCCCTGAGGAGGGAGGAGATGAGGACACAAGGAGATGAGGAGGACAGTTATCAATACAGTCTGAGGGCTAACAGTCATTTTCATAATCAAAACCTGCCTGTTATAGTTTCCATCAATCCTTTTATCTCTAATGTTTTATCCCTCAAAAGTTTTCAATTGTAAAAAGCTTTATTGATACGATGTGATGGTTGACGGTCTCTGTACCTTCAAACTCTCTGTACGCCGTCTCTTTAAGAGGAGCTCCGGATCCAAAGTCAACGAGCTTCACCTCCAGCGTCCTCGTGTCCACCACCAGGTTCTCGTCCTTAATGTCTCTGTGCACCACGCCGTGAGCCTGAAGGAACCGCACAGCCTCCACCAGCTGACGGAAGAACCTGAGGGGAACAGAGAACTTTAACAACAGAACCACACAGAGTAGAACAGTAGAGACAACAGAACCACACAGAGTAGAACCACAGAGTAGAACTGTAGAGACAACAGAACCACACAGAGTAGAACCACACAGTAGAACCGTAGAGACAACAGAACCACACAGAGTAGAACCACACAGATTAGAACAGTAGAGACAACAGAACCACACAGAGTAGAACCACACAGAGTAGAACAGTAGAGACAACAGAACCACACAGAGTAGAACCACACAGAGTAGAACAGTAGAGACAACAGAACCACACAGAGTAGAACCACACAGAGTAGAACCGTAGAGACAACAGAACCACACAGAGTAGAACCACAGAGAGTAGAACCTGAGTGCGAGGCGTTCCGTCAGCGCTCCTCTCTCGGTGATGAAGTCAAACAGATCCTGGCTCAGTGGTGGGCGCTCCATCACCAGCAGGAAGCCCCGCCCCTCTACCTGGAACCAGTCCAGCAGGTGGACGACGCCCCCGTGACCTCCAACCTCTGACAGCCGCTGAAGCAGAGCGATCTCCATGGGAACGGGGCTGACCTCACCGGGCTGAGAGGTTAGAATGCTTTAGAAATACATGTTTACTACTATTACTAATGTACTACTGTTTATGTTGTGTATATAAAGATAGGTTTATAAATACACATTTATTGTTTTATGTATACAACAAATAGTTAAATAACCATGAAATTAAAACCTTCGTAATGCTATTAAAACATATTTTAATTATTGATTATATTTCATTTTTTTCGACCAACCGTTTCTTTACTTTGATGTATGCCACAGCCCCCCCCCCCCCCCCCCCCCCCCCTCTTCCAAAAAAAACACTAAATGTTTGATATATTTGCTTAAAAAACTCTTTATTTAATTTACCAAAATACTTTTGTCGACAAACTGAAAGTTTCAGCTCAGTTTGAAGATGAATTTGTAAGTTACAGCTGTTAATAACAACAATAATGTCTGTGTCATGAATAGAACAATAAGACGTCATGAAGGTGTTTTTATTTCACACAGAAACTCCAGTTTGGTTTCTTCAGGGTTTTTTTTGCCCTGCTCAAACGCCTGCAGGTGTGTTCCAGGTGTTTTTGTGTGTGTGTGTG